TGCTTAACCGACTGAGACACCCAGGCGCCCCATGTGTGCTGTACGTCTGAGAGAAAACCTGAAAGGCCACAAAGTCGAATGTCTAACATGACCAAATTCAGCACAGGTGGATTTTAGGTAATTGCCACTTTTTTCCTACTGCTTGACTTTTTTGTTTTTATTAATTTTCTATAATCAAGTATCACATAATAAAAACCAAAACGGAATATAAAGAAAACGTTAAGGGGCATCAGCAGATAATTCACAGAACCAGAAGTATACTTTTAGCTGCCATGAAAAAATGTTCAACTTCTTGAGTTATTAAGTGAAAACCCAAATCCTGAGATTCTCTTTTGCAGTTCTCAAGAAGCAGATTATCTTTACATAGTAATACCCAGGGTAATAGAAGACACTGTGAGCCCGTCTGTCACAAACATATATAAAACCTCCCCAGCGAGGCACAGGACAGATGGGGGTGGGAGATGTGGTAGGGGCGAGAATTTGCTAATGTTCTTCTTGTGTGGGGCGCCTGGGTGACTCAGTTGTTAAGCGTCTGCCTTCAGCTCAGGTCATGGTCCCAGGGTCCTGGGATCAAGCCCCGCACTGAGCCCCGCATCGGGCTCCCTGCTCAGTGGGAAGCCTGCTTCTCCCTCTCCCACTTCCCCTGCTGTGTTCCCTCTCTTGCTGTCTCTCTGTCAAATAAATAAATAAAATCTTAAAAAAAAAAAAGTTCTTCTTGTGGCAAGAAAGAAATGGATACTGTTAAGTTTAAGAAACAAATATAAATAAATTTAAGTATGGCTCTTAAGGACAACCATCATAAAAAACAAAGTGCATTGCTTTTTAAATTTGTATTTATTTATTTTTGAGAGAGAGAGTGCACGCGCACGTGGGGTTGGGAGGGGCAGAGGGCAAGGGAGAGAGAGAATCTTAAGAGGCTCCACACTCAGCACAAAGCCAGATGCGGGGCTCAATTTCATGACCCTGATATCATGACCTGAACTGAAATCAAGAGTTAAAGGCTTAACCGACTGAGCCACCCAGGCAACCCCAGAGTGCATTGCTTTTAAAGCACCAGGGAAATACTCCCCCAAATTTGATCTATACAATGGACACATGAAAGAAAAGTAGATAAAACCTCTTAGTAAACTAGATCTATAAGGGAACTTCCTTAATCATGTTAAAGTTATAAACCCAAACCTTAACATCTACTTAATTTAAAACTTTAGAAGCATTCCCTTTATTAATTTTTTTTAAAGATTTTTATTTATTTATTTGACACAGAGAGAGAGACAGCGAGAGAGGGGACACATGCAGGG